TACGCAATCCACATCGATAATAGGATTATTTAGCGGTCACAAACATAGTGAACTACAGCATGAACTTGAAATTGAAGAAAATAAACATAATATGATGAAGAATGCATTAAATTATAAAAATACCATGAAGATGTGCCTCTTGATATGAAAGTTCTTAATACAAATTTCAAATTAGTATGACAAACGAGCTTGATAAATTGTAAGTACATCCATTCTCAGTAACAAACATCGATAAACAATGAATGAGAGATAATAAAGCGTAAAAAGCCTACCGATCAAAAATATGTCTTTAACAATTTTTTTTAATTTTGAGCTCACCTTGACATTGATAGCCCTGCTTTCCCAACCCTGAAAAAAACGACGAAACGATCTCAGTAGTGCAATAATACCAAACCCAAAAAACACACAACCCATTATAAAATGAATATTTTATGTAAAGTTAACCATTTGTAATTTGTAACTACACTAATTATGACCAGCCTCCGTACCGAAAGATACTACCGATAGAAAGTTCTTTAAGAAAAAAATCTTGCCATGGGATTATTAGGTGACTGGAACATACATAAATAATTAATTTTTGAATAATAATAGTAAATATATAGAATTTTTAAAAATTATTAGTCCCAAATTTCATAGAGTAGTTATTTTATACATCCATATATCCGAATGGACGGAAATATAACGGACGGACAGTGTAAGCATTTTTGCTAATTTGAAATTATTATTATATTTTTTAAATATGTATGTTTTCGCCACAATTACTTCAATTCTGAAAATTATGTATGTTATAGGAAAAAACTCGTTCAAGTAAAATTAATTTCATTCTACCCGTGAGTTGATGGACTAATATTAATAAACACAATTCAACACCCATGCATTTTATTCAATTCGTTATATGTCGCTTATTAAAATTGTGTTTTTCTTATACACTTCAATTTTGTATATATTTTTGTTATTTCTGTTTCAGATATTACTTAAAATCTCCGATAACTAAACATTGAAAAAATAATCACAATTATTTTAGATCTAAGTACAAATGTCTAATTACAGTAATGTGATAAAATATATACTTCGATTGCTACATCAAAAATACTGTGACAATTAAGCCAAAGATTAACCCACAAGTTTTAAAAAGCATAATAAAATTGGTAAATTTAAGCGATACTAAAAATATTGAATATATCTAAACTGACCATTTCTTTAATCGATATGCAGTACGGAATTTATATAATATCTAATTCTTGAATGTTGAATTTTAGCCAATTGTCAAAATAAAAGAAAGCAATAAATAATAAAATATTTACTTATACGTTTCGACCTGTTGTGTTTATCATTCAGCAATTTTTTTATGTTTTACAGTATCACACCAGAAAAAATAATAACAAAAATTTTAAAAATATAGAAAATAAACAATAATAAAGTGTCTATTTTGTTTTAAATAATTTAATTTAATTAATTAATTTAAATAATTTAATTGAAATTTAAAACAAAATTGTTATTTATTATTGTTTCTTTTCTATATTTTTTCAAATTTTTGTTATTATTTTTCCTGGTGTGTTACTGGTAAAACCTAAAATATGCTGAATGATGACACACAACAGTGTCGAAACGTATAAATAAAAAATTTATTATTTGTTTTTTTTTATTTCGGACAATTGCTGAAAATCAGCATTCAAGAATATGTCTCAACGTCAAAACAAAACATCTAAATCTTATAATATCTAATATAAATATACTTGAGTTATTTTGATAAATTATACCTTTGAAAGGGTGTTGAATATGTAAGTCTTGTAAAAATATAAATCATGATATTTATGAAGAACTACAGTACGAATTAAGTATAACAAATAATTACTAATTCAAATTTTTAATTGAAAAATTAATACTGCAGTATCTTCAAAACAAAAAAATCACCACATTTAATAGATAGACTTATTGATTATTTATATCGTGATGTTGTAATAACTATGTCTCAATCCTCGACAGATATAACAATTAAATACACCTAAGTCTGTTTTTACACGGTAGATTGGTTCCAGAAGAAGCCGTGTAAAAAAAAGTGTAAAAAAAGGCATTGATATCAAAATGGGTGATTTGTTCGCTAATCTCTAAAACCTATTAAAATTAGTGAAAAAACAAGAATTTTTAAGAACAAGAATTCATGTTTATTTTATTAAATCAAATATATAATGCTTATTTTCACAAGCATAGTAATTAATGATAAAAAAGGATATGCATTCTAATCTTAAAAGTAATATAAATTAAATGTATGGCAAGTTCAGGAACTAAAAAACTATGTTGTGAATGAAAAGAATAGGTTATTCAATTTTAAGGTAAAAAAAAATACAATAAATAGAATAAGTGATAATCATAAATACAACAACATAAATTAATTGCTGTCGTCATCATAATTCGCTGTATTTTTTGTGATATGAACATACTTCGCAAAAATTAAATTTGACAAAAAAAATTTAAGTACATAAAATTTCAAACCATGCTAAATGGAATAAAATCGTGTAAAAAATTAAAAATATTCAATTTTCAAACCGTGTTATATCAAAAACCGTGTACAAAAAGACCGTGTAAAAACAGACTTAGGTGTATAAAGAAAATTTAGATGTAGAGTTTATACTTTTTTTTAAATTAAGTAATTTCAAATGTGGTAATCCTGTTCAATATCATTAACAAATGTCCATTATGATACTGTTATGTGAAATGATTCACCCCGAAATACATGCTATCCCAATATTAGAAGAAACAAATAAAATAATCACTTACCAAATAAATTCTCGGCAGTGGGAACAAAACGTCGGTTGGCGCAAGAAAGTTGCCATAAATTTATGACCATTGACCTGATGAACACGCCTTCTCATGGCACCCCGCCGACGGTTGAATCCGGCGGTTTGCCTTGAATTCCCGGCCTCCTGATGCGCCTCCGCCCTGGCCTATAGCCGCTCCTGCATTTGAAGCCGTTTGATCTGGAGGAGAATAAAAAATACCATTAAAATACTGGCATTTAAGACTAAAATTATCTTGCTATTTAAATTTTGTGTGGTTTGAGTTACTATTTTTTTATTATTTAAATTATTCTGCAATCTGTTTTACATGAGCATTTTAAGCAGAAATTGCTAACAATAATTATCTTACAATATAAACCAGAAGATAGTAGTAACACACAGCGGCGTGTCTACTAGGTAAATTACTATATGGTTCCAATTAATATACAAAATTCTATGTGAATACAATAGCCAGCTGATTGAATGAGTATTTCTATATAAGATACGGTAGGGCGGTAGGCTTGAAGGTCCGCGGGTAAATAGGTCGACCACCAATATTTTAAAAACAAGTAAAGTTAGGAAGTTTTTCACAACAATATTTGAAAGTAAGGGGAAAAAGATGTGTAATCAGTCATCACCCTAATTCTTACGAATTTGCTATTAGGAGACAAACGGTAATAAGGCTGTTCTAAGGGGCGCGTACATTTGTTTCCAGAATACTAGTTCAATTCTCACAAATATTATTCATCCATCTTTGTCTACCTGACATAATAAAATAATTTCCTTCCCTAGTATAGGTACAAAGCTAGTTATAAGAAATTATTCATTCTGTACGCATAACCATGAACATCAAAGAAATAAATACTGTTAATAACTAAACCAACTTATTTAACTTACTTATTTTTAAAGGTCTGATATAGCCATTCTAATAATAAATTATATCTGGTCCTTCGAGGTAGTAAAGTGTCCAAGTGTGTTGAATGTTTAATTTACTTTTTTAATGAATATTGCGCCGGGCGCTTACAATACTATTATCAAAAATAATCCAACATTTTGAAAAGTATATTAAAAAATAAACAAAAAATCATTCATTTTCATGCATATTTTTACATAAGATCGCATATTAATTTGTAGTTGGATAATATCAATTGAGTATTTATAAAATTAAACTGTTGAAGAATTTTGGCGGGGCACAACATTTTTTTTTATTAGAGCAGTATTTTCTTATATTATGTTAGTTTTTTGGTTGTTAATATAATTTTGAAGTATACATAATGTTTTATAAAATCTATTGTTAATTTTAAGTTAGACTTAATTTTTTTTTATATAGCCTTTATAAAAACTAACATGTGGCTGGGGTAAGAAGGACAAATTGAACCCTTATCCTGTCATAGATGTGAACAATAAAAAATAATATTTTACAAGTTAAATAAATATTTATTCCAACCCTGCGGATGATTTTTTTATGAAATACCAGATCAAGGTTTTATACAGTATCAACTCTGAAAAAAATGTACCCTGGAAATTTATATTTTGTTTGGTTGAATAATGTAGCTATTATTTTGTAAAATTTCTTTCAGATTAAAAATAAACATTAGATCTGTTCGTCTCGAGGCCATCTCATTTTATGCCGCCTATGGGTTAAAAAGAACCAGGTTACAAATTTTTGAAAAACAGTAAATAATTTTAAAATGATGAATGAGCTAGGAGTTTTACTGAACATAGACAGATAGTTGTTTGTTTGATATGTGCTATTTGCTGTGATATAATTGGCTTGGTTTTCATATTTCAAATTAGACCTTTGACCGCCCTACCCTACATGATTCATAAAATTTAATAAATATGTGAAACTTGACAAAAAATTTAAAGTATATAAAGTGATGAATATTGATTAAAAAAACTCACCTCCAGAAGCCCATTTTAAATCTACTCGTAAATGTAGTTTTCCTTGAGGCTCTAAATCCACCTAAAATAACAAAAACACAAATAAATATTGAGGGTTTGATATTTCATGTATATCTTTAATAAAATAATGATTAAATAAGACAACAGTTATAAATTACTTTCAGATTGTAATATAAATTACCCAAAAATCGACAGCATCTCTATCTCGAGCCTAAAAGGTCTTCAAAAGGAATTGTACAATTGGCAACAAAATCATCGGGGGGTATAGATGCATCATGAAATACTGTAAGACCCAAACATGTAGCACCATGAACTTCATGCACAAAATATTCATTCCAAACAGGATCAAAAGTTTTTGGCTTTGTTGTTGAACGATCTATAAATATAACATTTTGTAAGTAAAATTTATTTACATGTTTGTGCATGTTAGTTTGTTATGGTTATAACTTAATATCAACACATTACATAAGAAAACTGATATGTAAATATAAATACAAAATATTTGACATCTTGCTTTATTGATTAATTAACATAAAACTAGTGTATAATGTTATTTACCTAAATGATTTTCATCCACATCTAATGAAACGTACGGGTCGATGGGCTGTTCATCGGGTTTTCCAAAAGTCATATTATGTCTCTTTTGGAAATCCGTAGGCCTAAGACCACAGGCCTCGCAAATCTTAACACGCATAGTCCCCGAGAACATGGCGAAATACTTTTGATCCTTATTACATTACCACGAAAATGTAAAAATCTTAAAATTATTAATAAAAATACTCATTTTTAATAAAATTAAAATGACATATTCCTCTGTCATTTGCAGAACCCAATCGCACTTCACTTCTATCTGAATCACTCAAATAATGCAGAACTGCCAACGCTGCAAGGATTGAAATCGAAAGCTCGAAAGCTCGGAGCTTCGTAATGTAGAGATAGAAATAATAGCTTTTTATGCAAATTTATTCTTGCTAACTTTGCTGGATTAATTAAAGATATATTTTTAAATAGATAAAACTAAAAACTTTATTAGAAATATATGGTAGAGCCAGGTAGAGCGGCGCTTTAAAGTCCGCGGGTAAAAAGATCCCCCACTCAAATAAAGTTAAGATTTTTTTAACAACATTATTTGAAAGTAGAGGAAAAAAGAAGTATAAAAAAATGTATTTCGTAAAATCTCTTCGAAATTAAAATAAGACATTGGATCTGTTTGCCCCAGGACCAGTTTACAATTTTTTAAAAATCTGCAAAAAATACATTTCTACAATGATGAAAAAGCTTGGATTTTAACTGAACTTAGACAGATAGTTCTTTGTTTGATGTGTGTTATTTGTTGTAATATAATCGTTTTAAATTTCACAATATAAATGTCCAAAGTCAAATTTGACCCTTCTTTACTCCGTCTCTATATGCTAGTTGCAATGCAAAAAATCTACTAGTTTGATATAAGGTAAATAAATAATATGCAAATTTCAAAAATAAATCTTTACAGTGAAATTATTCTCAGAAACTGTTATAGTAAATCTAATGCATCTTTGAATATTAAAATATTAAAAATATAATTTTGCATTTTAAACTAATGATATTTTTTCGATAGAGGTTGGCTAGCATGTATCGTGAAGTCTATTACCATCTGGCAATACCTATTCGACCTCGAGCTTTGCGATTCTCAATCTGCTCGGTTGAGTTCGTCAGACGTCGGCAGGAGACGTGCAGAATACCGACTGCCCGAATTATGTCGCATTATTATGTTATGTTTTGTGAGCGAATGTGTTGCGGTTACATATACAACCGATTTGTGTAAAATATTTATTTTGTTAAGTGCTAGTAATAATAAATAATGGCATTGCATAAATATGCTACCACACCAATATAAACTTAAAACTAATTGCCAGTATAAGTGAGATTATTTAAGACAAATTTGTGAAAATGATTGGTAGCGACGGTTATATAGACGGCTCTTGGAAGCTGAAGGTTTTTGTGACAGACCTAGGAGTAGAACGCGAACTACGAGTTAAAGGAGATTTACATATTGGAGGTGTTTTATTGAGACTTGTCGAAGATTTAGGTAAGTTTAGGAAATGTCAAATTACACGTGTTTTTCTGTTAACGCCATGTTTTCTATTGTTTACTAACAAATGTCAAATTGACAATTGCTTGACAGATTTATTGTTACACGAACAACTTTTATTAATAATCATGTGACTAATTTTATTTATGTAATTTATAGAGATATCATATCAAATCTTATTTCAAATGAATGTCGGAGATAATGTTTTACGCGTTTTGTTTGACCAGCAAAATCAAATATTTAAACACTTTCTTCGAAATAACATTCTTCTAAGATAAAATATTTAATTTGTCATTTACCTATATTGAGAATTTCATATATTACATGATATATAGTCAGTCAGAGAATTAAATTTTTACATGCTGTTCAAATTATATAAATATAATTATTGCTTCGAATATTTTTTATAAAGCTCATTTATAAAATAAATACAGGGTGTCCCAGAACTCAACATTCGGTTTGGCGTTGAATTCTGGAACACTGTATATATTATTCACTTATCTATTTTATATATTTTTATACGATACAGATCTATGTTAAATTTTTTATGATGTATTATATTATTTTCAATTTTATTTGCTCATTGCTTATACCTTTTACATACTTTAAATTCAGATACATTATTTTTAAAAAAATATTCATCATCTTAGCATTTAGACATTCATTTAACCTCGTTCAGTATTTTGGCAAGACTTTAAATAAACTTGATCTATATAACACAAGTCCTTCGTAAACTTTTAATATATATGTAGTATGTATCTCTATTTTGAGTAAATTTAAAATTCTCTATTGTATTATTAAAATTATGTAGTTATGTAAATTTCAATTATAATTGCTCATTGCTGCCTCATACATACTTTAAATTCAGATACTTTATTTTTAATAAAATAATCATCATCTTAGCATTCAGACATTCATTTAACCTTGTTCAGAATTTTGGCAAGACTTTAAATAAACTTGATCTATATAACACAAGTCCTTCGTATACTTTTAATATATATGTAGTATGTATCTCTATTTTGAGTAAATTTAAAAGACCAGTTTAAAAGGGTTTATACCTGCTAAAATGATGAAAGCAAACCTTATAAATATAAATTATAGACAACCTGGCATTCTAAAGTGTTTCGGATTTCAAATATAGTATTCGTTAATGTCCTCATATTAATAATATATTGGTGTACAAAATTGAAGTCTCTATAATTTTATTATATAAAAATTATTGCTTCATTAGTTAGCATTTAATGTAAATTTCTTGTTTACATATATACAAGTGCTTGAAAATTTTCTTTGTCCTTTAGAAAATATCTACTTTATAGTGGAATATATTAATTTCCCTATTTTTTAATTCTTATTACTATATTTTCTAATTTCAAATTCATTAGCAAATAGTTTTTAAATTAAAATACATATCACTAAACTGCGATAAATTAAATTCAAAAATAAGCGACAAAATAAACTCTATAATGAAAATTTCTTTTTACATATATACAACTGCTTGAATATTTTCTTTGTTCTTCAGCATATATCTACCTTATAGTGGAATATATTAATTAGCCTATTTTTTTCTTCTTATTACTACATTTTTTGTTGCAAACTCATTAACAAATATTTTAAAATTAGAATACATAACACAAAACCGCGATAAATCTAAAATGCTTGAATTTCGTACGCCGGTTACTAATAATAACTCTAAGATAATAATTCTCTATAATTTTGTTATAATGAATTATATTAACATATAATTAAATTTTATTTAATTTTCACTTTTCTTTGTTCTATAACATATCTACTTTATCGTAGAACACATTTTGGCAATTTTTTTCTTCTTTTTAATATATTTGCTGTTTGCAAATTCATTAGCAAATTAGTTTTAAAATTAGAATACATATCACAAAACCACGATAAATCTAGAAGGCTTGAATTTTGTACGCCGGTTCGATAATAACTCTCTATAATTTTGTTATATAAAAGTTAAGGACACATTAACATATGATGGAAATTTCTTATATATAATTGTTTTAAATATTCTCTCTGTTCTATAACATATCTCTACTTTATAGTAGAATACATAGGGACTATTTTTTCTGTTTGCAAATCTTTTAGCAAATTAATTATAAAATTAGAATACATATCACAAAACCGGCTTCAATTTCGTACGTCGGTTTTGATAAGAAATTTCCTCCTTCCTCATTTCTGATACAAAACGCCTGCGTGGTTGTCATGTCAATGTGTTAATCAAGCCGTTGACTTCATGTTTTTAGCTAAAGAACGAAATTAAATTGTTTTATTACACCCACATGTGTTGGAAATTGAAATAAGATGTACAACACTTGCACGAGATAATAACACTTATGTAAACTCCTCAAAGTGCATCTCTAAGAATCTTTTTGTCTTACAATATAAATAACATACTAGCAGAATCGCCAAACGATGTTTTGCCATACAAGAAGGTATTTGTAAACAATTTCTAGAGAATCCAAAAAGTTGTTATTTCAAACATTTCAAAAAAGGATATATTTTGAATTTCTAATACTTGCGAATGTTATTACAATTAAATGAGATTTGTCTGAGAGTCTAAATTTGAAATGAGAACATCCTATTAAATTTTTAATTTAACATGTGAAGTTTTTAAACTGTTTTGAAATAATTTCTCACCTTTTTGACAATCTCTGAATCAGCACAAATATTTCAAGACTAAATGTAGCCAAATCGGTTCAGTTGTTTTTGAAATTTAGCATGCCTTACATAATAACTTGCTCTATTTTTATGTATAAGATTAATGCTATAATGTGACTATACATCCCAAGACTTTTGTCATGAACCTCAAATGATTTGTGTTTTTTTTTGTCATTCATAATTTTGCACACAATTTTTTTATTAATCTTGTAATGTAGGTATAGCAAGATTCTCTTTTTTTGTGTTCTCTTTTTTTGTGATATTGTACTACGAATTAATGTGTGATAATTTTGCTCACATTTTTTTTATTATTCTTGCAAAATATAGCAAGGTCTTCTCTTATTAATCCTCAGTTTTTTGTGATTTTGTACTATCAACATCCACAAATCGATTTCGAATAGTTGAATTTATTCCTTAATCCGATTAGCAAGGTAATCCCCAAAATCTACTTTAAACGCCGTTTGAATTTAGATTTTTTTCTTTTTCTTTTTTTTTTAATTTAGATAAATCTATGCAGGTGTTTTATTTATAGAATATATAAAATCTATAGATTTTATGTCCTCTTACAATTATAAGAGAAATATTTTCATTCGCCTTTGAAAAGCCCACACTGCATCTGCGATACAAATCAAGTTTTTCGAGTATCATTAAAATGCAAATCGTGGAATTTAAATATTGCGTAAACATAGGTATACGACTGAAGGTTACATTTTATAATTCTCTACATAAAGCCGAAGTATGTAAAATCGTTTGTGTTTTATATTAGTATGACTCGAATTTGCAAAACACCATCATAGTAATAAATAATTGAATAGAATAATAGAAATATTGAATAATTATTCTGGGTGTATTATAATCGGATTATGATTCTGGGAGTATTATTATTGTAAATGTATGTTCATAAATTCATTAAAAAATATTGCATAAGGTGCACAATAATATCACATTTGCAGCAGGTACGTTTTCGTCAGAATGCGGCACCAAATTGCTAGTATGTAGATTGTTTTTAAACCAGTGCGGAGTGGTGAGGGTTAATTTAGAAACAACAGTCTAAAGTCATGTCTGCAATTTATATATCAATCTTGATGTATCATTTTATAATTTGTGTTTTTAAGTAAGTGCAACAAAAATCAGCCTATAAAGCTTTTGTCCCCGTGATCTGTTCCAGGTGTAATCTTTTTGGTAAACTTTTAATATGCGATGAAATATTTAAATTTCAAATATATTATTAAAATATTCTGAGAAGTCAATGGATCATTTTTATATTCCAAAAGTATATTTTATCATTTCGATAAAACTTGGCGCCAATCGTTAACCATTGTTTTCTGTTCCAAACGACAATTACTGGCAGACGAAGACAATGCTTATTGTTGATTATGAAGAAAAACAATTCTGATTATTTATAAACCGAGATTCCGGTCACTTATCAAGGAATGTTAACAATTATTCTTATCAGAAAAATTATTCGTTCATCACTGGTCACGTTCTTTGCATGAATGGGATGCTTTGAGGAAGAATTTTTGATAGATAACATGGTTAAAAATAATTGGCAAAGCATTGTGTGAAAATAGATTATTGTTATCTTGTTCTATGCGAAATTATTTAAATATTTTTAAAATAACCTGGCATGTTTTGAATATTCCAAGTATATTATATATTTTTACTAATTGGAATGTGCACTGATTGATTTATATAAGATTCATATGAAATCATTTTTAACTTCTCGAAGAAAAAGTCAAACTTTTTTATTTTTTTATTCAAATAATAGTTCCACTGATAATGGGAATAACATAAAAAAATATTCCAAATTTTTAGATTATCATTTTTCCGAAGGATAAGTTTATGTTTTCGGCAAAAAATCCTTCTTGCTAATTTTATGCTTACTAGACGTTTCATGGCATTCCAAAATTTGTCCCAAAGTTAGCAAAAGTGTGTGTATGTGGGTCTAATTTTGACCAGCCTAATTTTGACCATACTGCAAAAAGGCCTGAACGGATTTCAAAAGTTTAAAACCTATTCGATAAGATTTCGCTTTGATAAATTTTTTGCAATAATTTTTTTTTTCAATTAGCAGATAAGTTCTGTTGTTTGATAAGTGCTATAGCCAAAAATCCTGAACCGAAAAATTAAAATTTAAAAACTGTAACAAAGATATCAGTTGAACAAAAAAAATCGTGTCCGTTGGTTTTTGATAAAAAATTGTCGTTTCTTTGTAATTATTTTTACACTTTTTTGACAATCTTGTTAAAATCTTGTTATGATGAAAATCATGGCCTTACGAAACATACTAAAATATTAAGGGCCTACCACCACCAGTGGAT